CCTTGTTGCCTGGAGTAGTATTGCTGTTGTGGTTTAAGCCCAGCCAGCAAACCAGAACCACGCAGACACTTGCTCACTTCCCCCCTTCTTCCCCCAGCTCCTGGAGGGATGGGGAGGAGAATCAAAAGAATGGAATTCCCATGGGCTGAGATAAGAACACTCCAGTAACTAAGGTATAACACAAACCACTACTGCTACCACCACTAATAATAATAAGGGAAATAACAAAGGAAGAGAATACAACCGCTCACCAACTGCTGACCAATACCCAGCCTGACCCGAGCAGCGATCTAGCCCTTCTGGGTAACTGCCCCCAGTTTATATACTGGGCATTACGTGCTTAGTATGTCTTCTTTAGTCAATTTGGGTCAGGTGTCCTGTCTCTGCTTCCTCCCAGCTTCCCCTCCTCCCTGGCAGAGCATGAGACTCAGAAAGTCCTTGGCCAGGGTAAACATTACTAAGCAGGAGCTAAAAACATTGGTGTTGTCAGTGCTGTCCCCAGGCTGAAAGTCAAAACCACAGCACTGCACCAGCTACAAAGAAGGAGGAAAAATGGGTGCTAGTGCTGAACCTAGGACAATTGCCTAGAGACTGAAAACCTAACTCCTTTCCTTCCCTGCTCTCCAGCCCACCCCAAAGACTTCTGAAGAGTATGTGGGCAGGGGCACACCCCTGTGCCTGGAATCCCATGTGGCTGTGGGTTGCTCAAGCCTGAGCACCTGTGACCTGGGGACACTAAAACCAGTGTTAATGCAAAAACTGGTTCTTACTGACATGCAGAATACCTACTACTGTTTCCCAAGGCTTAAAGACCTACTGGTGCAGTAAATGTGGCCATGGAAATAGATAGATTTCTTCTGCCAAGTTTCCTGTTTCTGAGGAACTTGTTTATTTGACTTTGCTTAGAACTGATTTTCTATCCAGATATGCCGTGATGCAATAGGAGTTGCTTAAAAGTGAAGCTAGGACACATATGAAGCCTATCAGTAGTATCTGTGTTGCCAAAAACACTACCAAAAAGGCACTGGCTCACTGTGTGCATGCCTGATGTGTTTTGTGTTTAGTAATTCCAGCCACCAGTGCATATGCTTGTTAGTAGAAACCCTTCTTAAGGGATGCTTTTTTATATTTTTTATTTAAAAAAGTAAAAGAAGAAAATATTTCCCACACAGAGCTTCATCTCCAGAGGACTGGTGACCTAAAACTGAGCTGGAACAGATTAAAAGTTTCCCTTCACTACTTTCTTCTTCCTACTTTCAGCTAGCTCAAATTGTTCTATGAGAAATACCTTGATAGGCAGCTGTCTGCTTCATGGTAGTAATGAAAAATTCAACTTAAAATACATAAAAAGGAACAAATGTGTAGAGTTGTGTGTGGGTTTTATGGTTTTAATTTTTAATTTATTTATTCTTTTCCTTTTTCCTGCTTGACAGCACTTCTCAGCCCTAAGCTGTGCCCTGTTGTGCCAGGACTCCTGATGAGGTGTCTGCCTGCTGAGCAGAGGCCTGGTACCGCAGCTCACCCTAGCCGGGAATCCCTGGAGCCTTGTCTGTATCCAGAGCTTTGTCTACCTCTCCAGCCCTTCAGTTTCTGGGCACATTTCACGTGAGCTGGTGCCAGGAGTCCAGGAGACCTTTCTGTGGTGCTGGCTCCCTGTCCCACCCTATGTAGAAACAGTCACTGAATTTCCTTGGAAAGGATGGTCATCTGGTCAGCCCTCTTGCCTTGTTCTCAGTAGATCAGGACTTAACACAGGGCCGGGTTCTTATCCTGATTCTGATAAGAGAATTCAATAATGTACCTCAAATAAGAAAGCAACCCTCTGTGCTGCAGGTAGTACCATATGGGATCATGAGCATACATATGGAAAACCAAAGGAATGGCTTTAAAACACTAGGTTTGTGATGGCACTCCCAGTACTTTGCTGACAGAGTTTACAGTCACTGGCAGTTTATCAAACTGATTTGAGCTGGTTAATAAGATTTTCAACAAGGTGATAAAAATACAATTTATTGCTACAAAAGCAGCTAAAGTGCTTTGGCAACACTTCAGATTGTTTATGCCTTTAACCCTTGACCTCTTTTTAGCTACAGTGACTGCAGTAGTGATGTATTTTAGAAGTCAGGTAAAACAATAGTGGTTAAGTCTGACTGATGAAGAGATTGAGAGGAATAGAATTGCTTCTAGTCCAGCATGATGATGTGGAATTTTTTCCAAGCAAACCTCATTTTTGTTTTGAAAGTACACTCCCAGTCTTGTAAGACTGATGATGTGACAGTGCAAATCTGGCAGAAGAAATTAAGAAGGTAATGTTAGCACTCACCCTCTGTCCGCACTATGGCTGTGTTAGTGTTGCATCTTTGATCGTTCTCAGAAGCTTTCCAGTCTGGACTAAAAGACTGTATCTTTTTCCTCTTTACAATTTTTTGTTTTAAGGGCAGATATTTTTGTGCAGCAGATATGAAAGTGTCATCTGGCAGTTTATATGCAATCCTATCCAAAACCAGCAAATGGCTTCTCTTGACTTATGACGTCTACCGGGGTGGATGTTGCAAAGAGCAGACTTTCCAGTCTGGCATGTGAAAGGAGAGAAGGTCTCTGCATCCTGGAGACATTTTGTTCAAGCACCAAGTCAGCTACAGCCTTGTGTGACCCTAAGCATGCAACTTCTGTGTCCAAGTTTTCCAATTATAAAACAGCCCTAAGCAGCGCTTCCTGGAATCACAGGAAAACAAACTGGGGGTTTTATTACTAAACTGCTGGGACTTATTTGGGGCGAGTTGGAAGTTGGCCTTCTCTTGATACAAAAGAGTCTAGTTCTACACAGCCATTTTCTCTTCCAGACTAAAATGGGAGGCAGGCTTTTCCCTAACAAAGTAGCTGAGTTTGTGAATAGTTCCCAGTGACTTGTGTTTTTCAGCATGGGGCATTGGTTCGCATACACTTATGCCTATGAGCACTGCTGATAACACATGAAGTGTTGGAAGGTAATTGTATGAACTGACACTGACACATCGTCATGTAAGTGTGTCTTGAGAGATGGATGAGACAGAGGCTACTGGTGTGTGGCCTGCAGTGCCCTGGACTGCCAGAGGAGATCACCTCAAGGAACATGCAGGGTGCTGTTTTATAAACCTCAAATAGGAGCCAGTTGACCATGATTTCAACCTGTATTGATACAATGAAAGTGGTGAAGATCCTAATGCCACACGATACATTGAGACAAAAAGTCCCAAAGAGCCAAACTAACTTCTGTAGGGGGTGGGAGGGGTTCTCTCCCTGTGGAATTGGTCTGTACTCACAAATACTCTTTAGAGCAGTTTCTCTGCCCTTGAAGAGAGAGGTTAGAGAGAGCACCCTCATGAGCAATGTGAACTCTGCAAAATTGCTACAAATACGAAAACGTTTCATTCTGTAGTTTGGAAAAGCAGCTAGTAACGTTTCTTTGATATAAGCATAAAAGGCTATTAAGAAGTTTGTTTTGTTTTGTTTTCTTTGTCAGCATTGTTGAAGTGGAAAAAGGGAATGCATTTTTGAGCAAAACAGGCATTTCAGCTCTTGCAGGTGACAAGGTTTAAATAATGAATTTGACTACAGGATGGATGGATTCAGACCACTAAGTAGCAACACATGTTCTCTCCCTCGGGGCTTTCCTCCTGTGGTTTACCAGCTGTGCCACAACAAGAGCCTTTCACTTTGCCGTGAAAGCGAGTTGTTTCTTAGTCTTCCCACAAAGCTGCATCAAGTGGCACTTTTCCTGTGCATGTGCTTAAGTTGCTTGGGATATGCAGTTCATGTGAGCTGCTATCTTTAAGGAAATGGGCGGATGCTGGCACCCAAGTCCAGCACTGCCCTGGGACTGTGAAATGAGCTGGTTTCAGTTCTGGAAGCGGGGAGGATGTGTTATACCTCTGCTCTGCTAGACGTTGGGCAAGAAAAGGATTTATCAGCCTAGGCTTAGTGCTGCACTCGGGCTACTGTGTGGCTTTCATCCAGTTCATTCAAGGTATGAGTGAGCACAGATTGTCAAGTCCCCGTATTGTGTCGGTCTCTTTTCATCTGTGGGCTTTGGAAAGGTGTGCTTGTATGTCCAGAAAATTATGGCTGAAAGTAAACCTGCCACATTGGTTGCGAGCAATGATTTGGAGTGACTAGTCTTTATGTGCTGATAGATTTAATTAAACATTCAGAAGAATGAATGAATTTTATTCAAATATAAACACTTACATGACAAAAACTGTTATTACAAAACTCCCAAGTACTTTGAATTGTAACAAACAACTGTCATCTTACCTCCAAAAATAGCTGGAAACCTAAATCAATTCAAAGTATGGATTTTGCAGCAGCAGGCTACTGCATTTAGATGTATTCGCTATGTACCATGAAATAACAGAAGTAAGAAAATCCAACCAGCCTAAATTAGTTTAACAACATATCATAAAGTGACTGCTAGGCTGTTTCTTGCATCTCTAAACCATTACAGCTTTTTGCAGTTGCAGAATCTAGAGGTAAAAGAGTGGTTTTAGTAAAGGCTTCTGTCAGTTACAGAAGTATGGAAAAGGCTGCACAAAACTTCAGGGGATAGATAGCAAGGAAATGTCTGCAGGACTTCTTACTGAACCACTAGGAAATAGTTCGCATCCACACAGATGATGTTCACATTTTTGAATCATCTGCAAGCTTGCATGCTTTCCTCAAGAAAATCCCTTTTAGGGTTCACTGAAGACTAGATATGGACTCAGAAAATAACTAACATATAGATTAGTGGATGTGAGAGAAGACAAGGAAAGACTGACATTTAAGGTAACTTAAGGCACCTTAGTAATCTTACCTGATAAATGTTGTCAGCTAAATGTCCCACTGAACAGGGTACGGTACAGATGTAGATTGGAAGACAACAAAGGACAAAATAAATAAAACAGTATTTTTCAGACATTGATGATTAGAAATATACTCTTTATGTTAACAGATAAAATGCCTTAGAAACTCCACAGTTGTACGCATTTAGAACCTAGGCAGGAGCTGAATTCTTTAGTTGAAGCTTGGCTTGTTTCTTTTTGTAAACAATTTCCGTACCCTGTTCAAATTGGTAAGCCTTGATTGCACCAAGTGAGAGCTGAACTGCCCTTTCTCTTAAATGCTACAGAAGCTAAGCCTGTGCAGCCCTCCCACAAAATACTAGCACAGTGGTGGTGCACAGCTACCCAGCTCAGAGCCTCCTCAGGGGTACTGCTTCAACAAAAGCTAACGGCGCTATTGCCAAATTTTTCTGGATTCCACATGATGGGATAACAGGAAACTAAAATTTATATTCACTTGTCTGGGATTTGAAAGCTGATCTTTATACAAAAAAAATCAGTCTTATTTCACAGTTGACACTGGAGTGCCTCTTATACATTGAGCTCAGACAAACAAGGCTGTGACTTATTCACAAAACTGGTAGAATTTTAGTCTAGCAACTGGTGCAGTAAAAGCCAAGTGTTTTCAGGGCTCAGTTTAAAATCATCATTGCCATACCTGCCATGACAAGATGGGGAAACTGCCCCACCTAAGCAAGAGAGCTAATATAGATTCCTCCTTTTTCAAAACCTAATACTATGAGCAGAGTTGCTATTTTCAACTGGTTTCTCTTGGTTGACTGAGATGAAATAGGAAGGCACATGCACTGGCACATGGAAACTGTAGTTCCATGCAGAATGCATGAACATCCAGAAGCTGCTTTCTGGACATTCATGGAGAACACAGTCATGTACTCTGTACTTTTTGTGTGTGTCCTGGGTTTAGCACTAGCAGTCATTTTCCTCCTTCTTAGTAGCTGGTGCAGTGCTGTGGTTTTGACTTTCGGCCTGGAAACAGCACTGATAGCACCAATGTTTTTAGTTACTGCTCAAATGTTGAGGCTGACCGAGGACTTTCTGAGCCTCATGCTCTGCCAGGAAGGGGAGGAAAGAGACAGGGCACTTGACCCAAACTGACCAAGAAGTATTCCATACCACAGCACATCATGCCCAGCATGTAACTGAGTGTTACCCAGAAGGGCTAGGTCACTGCTGGGTTGGACTAGGTATCAGTTGGTACTTGGGCAGGTGGGGTGAGTTATCAGTCAGCTGGTGGTGAGGGGTTGTGTTCTCTTCCCTTGTTATTTCCCTTATTATTATTATTGGTGGTAGCAGCAGTGGTCTGTGTTATATCTTAGTTACTGGACTGTTCTTATCTCAACCTGTGGGAGTTACATTCTTTCGATCCTCCTTCCCATCCCTCCAGAACCGGGGGAGTGAGTGAATGAGCTGTGTGGCTGGGTTTAAACCATGACAGTGTGTCCATGTTTTAGGGACAGGACACGAGGAACATTTTGGTTCAAAAATTTCAGTTTAAAATCCTCCCTGGAAGCCACAGAGGAGTGCTTAAATAACGAGTAGCTGAATCAAGCAGAGCTGGACCACAGGTTTTGTTGTATCCTGAAAAGGGTAAGTCAAGGTAACCTGACATTAACATAGAGGGCAGTGTTTCAAATTGGTTCAAATTTCCACAGCCTGCTCTTTCACACAGTATGCACTGGCTTCTGTTAGAAACGGAAGTTCTCTTTTCAATGGAATATTTAGTAAAAACCAAAATGCTAATATCAAGTGCATCTAAAGAAAGCACACTGCATTATGGTAACATATTTGGTGCTTAACCCCATCAGAGCAACTCCCATTTTTGAAGGACTAGCTCAATATGTTTTACTTAATTCTGTACAGAATAACATGCAGCTAGTGAAACCAGACAATTAAAAATATGTGCTGTAGAGATAAAAAGGTGGGAAAAGTCAAAAATGTCATTTTGCAGAGAGCCCTTCAGTAGTTTGTTGTTTGGGGTTTTGGGGGCATTTCTGGGGTGTTTTGGTTGGTTGGTTGGTTCTAGTTGTTTTATAGCTGCTTTTCTTCATATTCAGTAGTCATCATCAGGGTAAGAAGGCACAGCAAGGACTTCCCACGTTCCTGAAATGCAGTTGCTTCAGCTATGAGAGACTGGGAAATCTCCACTTTTCCGTAGTTTGGTATAGAGTAGCTAAGCCCCAGGCTTACTGCTTTCTCCAGTGCAGGAGCATAAACCACTGACAGACTATCACAGAGGACTGTCCAAAGTGGCTAGCTGGTGTGGTGATACAACTGTTGTGTGGACACAACCAGCGGCTGGAACAGAAATCCAGTGGATTTTGCTGTCTCTTGTGTTGGAGAAGCTTTTTTTTTTTTTGTCGTCTCTCTTGGCATGATCTGCAGAAATCTATCACTTGTATTACAGGTAATACCGCCACTGCAGTAAGGGGTGATGCTTCTCCTGACACGTCCCCAGCTGTCCAAATTATTGGCAGACTTTCCATTTAGACAGGTGCTGTAAAAAGAAACAACTTGATTAAAAAAAGAAACAACCCAGAAATAACTGTCTTAGCATTGTCTCTTCTACCTAACCAGTGGAACAAGCTGCAAAGGTATGGAAAAAGAGATATTCATGCTTCTGAGAAAGAATCAGCCAGTGCAAAACCCTGCCTCTGCCTGGGTACCTGAGACACTAGGGACCCTCTGCCCTTGTGCCATAGGATGAAAGTGTCTCTCTTTGTGCAAGTGCAAGAAGTGCTCTCCTGCTAACATCTCCCTCCCTTTGTCAGTGTCACCCTCAGAGAAGAAGATGCACAAACCCTGGATGTGGTTAAGGGAAACAATATTCCTGAAGCTATTCTACAGGCAGGGATGGGATCCTTCCAGAGACCAATTCAGAATTGTTCCAGCTCTGAATTTCTCCCCACTGACTGTAATGGGTGTTTGGAGAAACTAACCCCACCGGGATGAAGTTGCTCTTCTTTTCAACCTGCCTTCCTCACAGTTTCCAAAACCTTTTCCTTTCTAACAGCAAAGCTAGTGCCAATAGGTTTGTTTTTTTTTTTTTTTTGGTTTGCAGTATTCAGGATTCCCAACTCCTAGGAAACAATCTGACCTTCTTCATAAAGTGAAACTGCTAGAAGCAGAAACATATTTTACATCTGTATTTAAAAGCAAAATGTTGTGGCAGTGTGTCGCTGTGGGTGCACCTCCACAGTGCTTTACCCCTCATCCGCTACATGCACCTTGTTTGAAAATATAAAATGATGATTGAATTAGACTAGGATTTATCCAAGAAGCCATCACAGTAGTCTCACAGTAGCACCAGCTATTCTAAGGAATTTCTGACAGATACTGGTTTCCTTTTACATTAAGGAAAAACAGAATAGCAACAAACCTGGACTGATAGAGACTTAACAGCCTGCACAAACTCTTTGCCTCAGTACTCAACTACTATTACCCTTAGACAAGCATCTTTTCTTCCTAACATCTAACTTAAATCTCCTTTGTTTCAGCCTGTTGTGCCTTAAGTGCTGTGTCTGCTGGGTTGGGACAGCAAATAACTTGTTTTATCCTCTTTAAGGACTTGCTGAAGAGGGGGATTGTTGTGTCCTTAATCAGTTTTTCTTTCTCCAGCTTAAACAAGCATAACCAGTGTTTTGTTAGAGATCACATTTCCTAGATCATTCTTGCTTCTCCGGTATTGGTCCAAGCTGCCCTCAAATTGGGATGCCTGAAACATTTGGTGCTGTCTTGATGGTGACGGGCTTCAGCATAGCTGTAGAACAGGAAGGGAGGATGGCTTAAGCCTGTATGCTCCATGTCCCTTGTTGATTTGTTATGTCCTTTGTCCTGAACTGCTGAAGGAACTTCTAGGAATCAAGACCCTGAGGCTGCTTTTGCCAACGCTTGCAGAGCTCAAGGAAAGGGCTGACAGAAGCATCAGGGCTATGACTTTACGTGCTTGAGTTTATAATATCCAGCAAGTATTATTCAAAGGCGTTGTGCTGAACTTGAGTATAGAAGTTACGAAGTTGAGTCACTCTTGAGACAAATACAGTAAAATATTTTTAATAGTTTTAGTTAGTTACTCCATTGTCTTCCTTTAGCTGGACATCTGTTGAAACAAATGCACTGTTTTAAGCATGTCAGATAGATAACTATCATCTTTAGCCGAATTGAATTAATATTAAACAACATCCACAGATGTTGAGTGTTCAATGCTCTTTGGATGGCAAAAGGCAGTCCATGCTCTATTTGCTTACAAACTAGTCTACCATTTGAGCAAGGGTCGGTTTTGGAGCTTGAAGCAACAGTCCTGCTCCATGTTTTGGGAAAGACATGAGTGGTTTCTGAAGGAATGGCATGGCTCCTAGCACAGCACAGCTGCTGCAGATGCTGGGCAGAATCATTACCCTGCCTTTTTCTGAAGCACCCAGGCTTGCTAGCCATGAGGAAGAGGGCATGGATTGAAAATGTGGTTTGAACCTGTCCATGAAAAGTGGTGTTGTCCCTCCTCTCTCTTCTAGATGTTACCTCTTGCATACCTGCAAAGCGGCTTACAGTAAGTACTCAGATACATCATCTGGTTCACAAGATGTCTTTTACAGCTACCTTTTGTTCTCTTATGCCAAGCATTGCAGAGTCCTGCACATGGGAAAATGCATCAATACAATAGTATGCGTGTATAACCTGGAGTGACAAAACATACTTTACTTCTAACTTGTAGAAAGCTGCTCGATCCCAGTAGGGTCTTGAACCCTTATTCATCTAGCCAGTGACTCTAAAGCTCTTGGGATTGATTTATCCTCTGATTTCTGCTTTGGATTGTGCTAAGCAGAACAAACTACTGACCCCCAGTCCTACACCATAGAGGAGCATCCCCTCCATCTGCTCAGGAACAGGCTGCAGGCATGACGTCTGAGAAACTATGGCCTGAGAAGGTGCAAAATCTGAGTTACTCTCACATCCAACTCCTGTGAGGCTCAGGCACTACAGCAGAAAATGTTAAAGAATAATGTGTCTTGAGGCATTACATCTGTCCTAGGTTTTTGCTAGCAGCATAATTTCCTGCTCCTGTGTGCAGGCAGCTTACTCGTACCTTCTAGCCATGCGCTGGATAACTTTAAATATTTTGGAAAAAAAAAACAACCCAAGAGTTCTTTAGGTTTGGTCATGCAAATGAAAGGCCTCATTACCTGTGCAGGACTCTAGTCTAGAGGACCTCCGTCTCCTCAGCTAGCAGATTATTACAGCTAGAACACCTATCAGAATGACAATGAAAATGATGCCAGCTGCCTGAGCACCTTGTCCATTTCTTTTCAGGCTTTTGTGACTTTCCGTGCTACACCCATTGCTTCGCTTCTGCTGAGTGTCTAGAAATAAAATAGAAAAATAATGTACCAAGGTATAAGTTTTCACATTTCATACCAGACAAATATTTAACCATATTTTACAAATAGAGAAAAGTTCTGAAGGACTAAGTATTTGTGCTATCCATATTACTGTGATTCTGGTGGTATTCCTTCTAAGAAAGGTACATCTCCAGCTTATTCTGTCTAAAAATACAATGGCAGTTTATTCCTCCCTGTTGTCATACTGCATGAATCCCTTTCTTCCTTCTTGTTCTTCTCTTCTGTCAATCCTGGGACATTGTATGTTTGAGCTTGTGTATAGATTCAGTTGAAAATAAATTTATACAGAATCTGTAATACAAATTTCGTGGTCTTCATAAAAGTGGGTGAAGACCTGTTTCTTTGATGTTAGTGATGAATTTCCACTGATTGCTGCAACTTGAAGGTTTAAAATAGCATCTCTTACTGTTTCAAGTATGGCAGTGCTTTTAGAAACCAACAAAAAATAGCAAGATGAATTCTGATTTAGCCACAATACAATATGAGAGAATGTTGTTATGAAACTAATGAAAGGTTACTTAGTTTTCTTTTAATTTGGGATGACAATAAGGGTACGCTATCATATAACCACTCTCACGTGCAACTTCTGCTCATGTGTGCAATTTCTGTTCCTGGAAATAGTTGACATTATTTGGCTATGTTTGTGGGATCAGTATCGTTAAGTCAACAATATGTGACTCCTTGGTGTGTACAGTTAAACATCTACAGTTATGCAGATCATCAAACCTCCTTGCGCCAGGGTGCAGAAACCTGTGACTGAATGGTGTGGCAGGAAGCAGGACCAGTAACAGCAATGAGCAGATAAGCTGTCCTGCTCCACATAGCTTCTCTACACAGCTTTTTGGAAATCATGAACTCTGCTGTTGGCACTGTACTTAAAACTTTCTAACAGCTTGGGGTTTGTGTGTTGTTTTTGTTTGTTTGGGGTTTGTTTTTTTTTTTTTTTTGTTTGGTTGGTTTTTTTTCTGTTGTTGTTCAGTTTTGGGTTTTTTTGTAGCTTTCTGGTTTTGTGAACAGCTGTGTGGCTCATACTTGTTTATACTATTGATTGCTCCTGTCAGCAATAAATAGACTATTATACTTGTGCTAGTAGGTCTGTTGTTCTATGGGGCTAATATTACTTGTTTGATACAGGCATGATTTAAATAGTGCATTGTACTAAACTGAATTTTGGAGACTGAAAACAGAACTTTGAAATTAGCAGAGTAAAAAAGCAAATGTGAGTGCTGCAAAGCAGTGGGGCAGCGGTTTGGGAATCATGGATCTCTGGTATGGTGCTCCCTGAAAAAATAACCTGACTCCCATGTCATCATGTTCCTAATGAACCAATGGGTAAAGCCTAGTGCCTGCTTTGGATGCAAGAGCTTCTCAGTGCTATTGTCTTAACATGCTTGGTTCAATATGAAAGAAATAAGCAAAATCCACGACTAAATATAACTAGCTTGACAAAACCTAAGCTCTTCTTGGCACTTTCTGGAACTTCTGAATTAATGCATACCCCTCACTAGTGCGTATCTGCACACAGAGACACGCTGGTTGATACCCCTGTAAGCTAGAAAACATGAAGTAGCATGAAGGGACTTACAGTTGGCTGATAGATTTTCCTATAGTATCTTATTTTCTATAGAGCACTCTATTTGCATGTTAGAAGTGGCTTTAACCTTCAACGTGCTAAAAATGCTGTAAGTGTCATTGCTGTTGGGGATGATCATTAATTCTGATGGAGGCAGGTGGCTGTTGCCAGTTTTATTTATCCAATAAAGATTGGGCTCTGGGTATTCATTGCCAGACCTGCAGCTGAAAGTCACCTTCTCTCCAGCGCTGTCACTGTTACTTATTAGGCCACTGAGTTGGCTATGTGTAGTTGGCTATAACTAGCTGGAGAGCAGGAGAAAAATAATAGTTGTTGACATGTCAAAATGTATTGAAAATACAAAATTTTGATGTGGGTTCTGAAGCAGAAGCCCTGGGTTTCACACCACCCTCATGATGTGAAAGAGAAACACCTGCAGGTTTAGTATGTAAGTCAGAGAGCTGAGAGAATTACTGGAAGGGCAGAAAGCTGAAGCCAGACTCAGGAAGAAAGCAACTTCTCAAACTGCTGTTACTCAGTAAGCCTTTATATTACTGAAAAACAAGATGAAAGCCCTCCCACATGGGATAAACAGCTGTAATAGATTCTCCCAGTTCTGTATTCCCTGTCTGTAACATTAAAATTAAGCAGGCTTCATTTCAGCAAAGGGCTGAACCAAGTTTCAGAGTTAATGGTATGCTTAAATACAACATTGAAATGGCATGAATTTGGAAAGATGGAATGAGAACTGGGCAAGCATGTGCAAGTGATACAAGCTCTTACCTGCTAAACTGAGAACCACTTCCTCCTGATGAACCATGCTGGTATAGCCAGCTTTCTCCAGTACTATACATTTGTATGTATGTTCATCACTCTGGCTGACGTTTAGTAATAGTAGAGAAAAATCCCCATCTTCCAATCTATCCCAGAATAATTGAGTCCTGTTTTTAAAGTGAATACACTGTTTACTTTCATTGTCTTGACCAGAGATCAGCGCATGTACAACTGTACACTCCTCTTTATCGTCATCTATTTGCCAGTATACCCGTAGATTTTTTAAGTGCAATTTTCTTCCTTGATAAATGCAACTCAATGTAGTGTTTTCTCCAGGTTTACTGACAATGATCTTCTTCTCCAGTGCAGTCACTACAAGATTAAAAGAGACAAGAAAAAAAGGGAGGTTATGTGGAAGAGGTTTTACTCTTTTTAAGTATATTCTACTGCATGGGTGAACTCCAGTATTAGTACCTATACTAAGCAGATAAGCATGCTCACTTTATAGGCACTCCTACCTCCTGAAGTGCTGGTGACTAATTCTCTCCATGTGTGCTTGTCTGTGTTTTCTAAAGGGACCTTTTGCAATATAAAGCCTTCTAGCTATTTCCTTCTCTGACCAATTGGTCTAAGCATTCCCAGCCCCATGCTGCTCATTGCCTCCAGATATATACTCAAATCCTTATACTTAACATCTTTTTCTTTTTAAATTAAGAAAAATGCCGAACACCACCAGGTGTAAATCACAGGAAGGGTAAATACTGATAAGAAAAAGAGTACTGCCATTATTTTGAGACCCCCAAAATTATAAAGGGGGAGTAAAAGAGTGTTTCTCAAAGTGGGCATGTCATAGCAATCACATTTTATTGCTGCTGTTGGTGTCACCTTCTCAACAAATACACCCAGCTGGGAAACCAGCATGTCCAGGTACCTCTGGTGATACATTCATTAGACATTTATAACCTCTTACGGCCACATGAGGTAGGCCAGTACAGTGTCTGGCTTCCAGGGCACTTTTCCTGGCCTCAAGACATGAGAAAGGCAGGTTCTCCTCCTGGAGAGCAAGGTAAAGGCATGAGCTGGCTGACAAGTGATGCAGAAAGTGCAGGTCAGTGATTCCCAGAGGGCTAGGGTGGTTCTGGCCACAGACTTTCTTCTGAGAGGGATGGCTCACCTCTCCTTCCTTCCAGCAGCCAAAACCTCTCTGGTGCAAGTGTTGCTGAGACCAAAGAAATATGCATGTTGTAAACCCTGGACTGGAGGGTGAGGGGGGGCATCAGACACACAGTTGAATGGGAGACATTACAGTTGGGGGAAGGGATTATGTGGGTGGGTGAGCTAGGGAAAGAAAGATGACAGGAGTGAGGGCTTGGAAATGTGGAAACAATGCATGGTGAGGTGCAAGGAAGGCAGCAATGTCCAGCAGGGGCATGTCTTTGTGCTGGTGCACAAGACTCAAGAAATAGTTCATCTAGACATTGAAGTTGGGCACCCTGTCTTAAAAATACCACTGAAGCAAACATAGTACTTGCAGGGAGGCAGGTAGTTATGTTCTCTGAGCCCTTATCCCCCGTTGGGTGAGACAAGAAGGGACACGCTTGACCTGCAAGAAGGCTGCTACAGCTCAGACTTAGTAGAAAAAAAACCCTTATAGCAGCAGGAAAAGTGAACCCTGGGAAGACAGGTGGGCCTCTGTCACTGGCATTCTTCAGGAACAGGCCAGCTGGCATCTACTGAGACTGTATTTGGCACAGTTTGCCCTGATTTTGGGGAGTTTCCTTGATGACTTTTTTGATCCCTTCTCAGTGATTAAGCAAGAACAGAGGAAAGACAACTCTTAAAAACATTTAAATATCACTAGATGATGTCATTTAACCTTATATTTGATTTGAAAGGGGTTTTTGGAACTGTAGTAAAAGACTTAATACTGACTACTTGATACTGTGATGTGTAACGCTAGTCATAATATAAGTATGGATGTTATCCAAGCATGTTAGGTCTGCTTATTAACAGCCCTTATTACCCTACTTCTAAGGCTTTTTGCTGGCAGAGATAAAGGTGCAGGGATGTCTGTGAAGCAAGCAGAGCAATCTGAGCAAGAGCATCCATAAGGTTCTCGCTATTCTCTGCACTGAAACTGATAGAAACAAACTGTTTTCTTCCTTCCCTGATGCATGTCAGAGAAACATTTCACACTAAGGAATTCTTAAGTGCCTTGCTGAAAACAAGAAGATGCTTATATTGTACATATTACAACTACCTTGTGTATTTGGCCAAATGTTTTAAAGCGAGTGCAGCTTTATTTTTAACTAAACTGTTCTTAACTTACCGGCTCTCATGGTATGAAGGAGCAGTAACAGAAATCCATAACTAAAATAAAAAGCAAAGAAGAGGTTATATGATTAACTTTAGCATCTCTGTTGTTTAAATAATCAGTAAACCTAATGATGATTGTTTAATACAGTAGCAGAAGTTGGTAAATTAGGTACTGTGACTACATAATGTCCCAGTAAGTATTTGCATTTCTGACGGATGCAAAACTTCTGTTGAAATGACATAACTCTGTGGGTGGGTGGCTGAGGGCATGACTAGCAGTAAAATGTGCCAATATTGGAATTGAAGCAGAAGGCATGAAGCTGGTGTCACGCCCAACTTTCTTGAGAAAAACACACAATATAGCCTCCGGGGCCTATTTCTATAATGTCTATCTGGATCACTAAGAAGTATCACAGGTCAAAGCCCTGCATCCCACTGTTTTGCTGAAACTCAACAAGACATGGTTTTATCTGATTGAAGGACAACATGCAGCTGACCATGCTGCCCACCAGTTGTGCGCTCACTAAAAACACATAAACAGGAGCAGTGGTAATAGCAGGAAGCTGTGCAGAGGTTTTGCTGGAAAGAATTCAGTGTATTTGATTCCTCTTGAGTGGCAAATCTATGCAGGAGTTTCCCAACAGAGTTACACCTGCTGGATGCTATGGGAAAACCCAGTTTAGCTTATCTATAAAATCCAGGTGATTTAATCCTTATTGTATAGGGCTTTAGAAAAGATGAAGGTGCAGCCCTTTCTAAAAGAGTTACTTTTAAATAGCCTTTCATCACTATGCCTATTGTGCTCTCCTTCCTCAAGACTTCTGTGAAAGAAAAGAAAGATGCTGGAATGGTTTTGGAATGAGAGCTGTGTGGCTGCAATTGCCCACTTTAATATTATTTCTCATGCAATAAGGTTGCTGAGCTGAGCAAAGGGATGCAAATGCCTTCTCATCACCAGATTCCCCAGCTCACTTTTGCAAGCAAGCAGGACTGTGAGGCCACACTACCCAGGTGTGTTCTCCTCCCCTGTTGTTCTCAACCCTCACCTAGGTTCAACACTGAGCCAAGGGCTGAGGCAATGGGGAGTGCTGCCCTCAGAAGCCCACATCCACCTAGGAGTGAGCTCCATCATCTTCCACTCAGACTGCTCTGTGTTTTTCCTCTAAACCAACCCTACCCTGCCTGAACCTTGTCCCTCCAAGCCCTAACCTAGGCTCACTTCCCCTGCATTCATTTCTCACCTCACTTTCCCCCACCAGCTGTGCATTAGAACATCCCCTCCCTCTTCCAGGCTTCCTGCCCTTTCCGCATAATTCCTACTCCTTTGTCTAGCTGAGACTAATCCAGCACCTCCCAGGCACAGCATCACTTCTGCCTGGCTTTACTTGTAACCACCTGCCAGAGCACACCTTGGGTATTCTCTGCTGTGGAGGAGGGTTGCTAATTCCCATCTGCCCTCTAAGAAAATTCTCACCCTTCCAAACACATTTGACTTCCCATGGAGAAAGCAGAGAAAGTTCTTGACACAAAATGTACCTCTGCTTGAAGCCCCAACTCCAGAGAATGAGATGGAGAAAGTTTAGGGAAGAGTCAGTCTGAATTGTATTACTTTAATATGAAGAAAGCATATTCTTTTCCTTTTTTGTGTCCTTTTAAGTGGCTTCATAGATGAGGTTTCAAAAGCTTAAGTGGATGTACAGCATGGAACATTTCTACTCTGATACGTATTTTGTAAATCTGCAACACTGTCAGATAGGCAGCTCTGCTCTGTTCTGTCTCTGCCAGTGGCTTTTGAGGCATTTACATGTATTGTATTTTTGTCATATTTTTACACTGCAGGAGCCATCACTTTTGTGCCACGCTTATATAGGTCAGTTTAGACAAGCTCACCATAACCTAGTCCTTAATCTCACAGCTGTGTTTGCTTTATTGTTCCCTGCCCAAGTCAGAAACTATGGATATAGCAAGTCATTTGAATTAAATGAAGGACAACAGTTAACTGATCTTATGGGACTCTTGGGGGAATTTCCCGTGGTAGGCATTTGCTAATGCCAACAAATATTTAGCTAGCTGGCCAGAACTGATTAGCTAATGTATATATACAAAGCAGGCCTTGATTTCTTATTTTAATAAATGATGACACAGTTAAGATTGGACAATCTAGAGATGCTCATACCCTTACTTGGAGGTAAGAGTGTGGCAGTATTGGGCAGTGTCAACCCATGTTTGTCTGGAATAGCTCTAATACTAAGCTCCTGTTAGAAAAGGGGAGAAATGCTTTTGCCTGCTGAGAAGCCTCCTTTTTGCCTTGTATGTGCACTCAGCTTCTGTGCCCATCACTAGCAGTGAGCTACACTAAGAACATGTGTAGATGTATTAGTTTCATAGGTTCTCTATTGTTTAAAAAATGTTTGGGTTTTTTTTTTTTTTTTTCCAATTCTTTCCCACACCTTCCCCTTCTATATAAAGTGTTATGTGGAACAGGAGAAAGTTGCACTTCCTCTTTCATACATTCATGTTTGCTGAGATTATTCTTCCTAGGAGCATCTCAACTTTTTCATGTACTATTTATTTTAGAGTTACGTGATGCTGCTATTCTTACACAAACCAGGTGGACAAAAGATGTCCTGATGCTTGCAATAATAACTCTGGGGCTTTTGCCCTGCTGCTGAGGTTCACTTTGTCCCCTTCCCTTGTGGGGAAATCGCTCTTCTCGCATCAGCAAGTGCCCTGTGAAGCTTTCCTAGCCCTTCTGTACGCCAATGCTAACCTGGGCTATAAAAAAAAAGGCAGGCCAGCTTTCCTTCTCTCATCAGTTACATTCAGCAGAAAGGCCAAATTAAACACCAGTTACGTGCCCGCAGCCTTCGGTGACCGAGCACAGGCAGGTGGGGCAGGCAGGCGAGAGCTGAACCACGGGGCTGCCTTGCAAAACCCACCTCCCGCATCCACGGGCGCTCGGCGCAGCTGCACGCCCCCTACACGCAACCAAGACCGGGCACGTTTAAAACCGCCGTCCCGGGGGGGGGGGTTCCGTGGGGGGACCCCGCGCAACAACTCGGTCCGGTCTCCAGTCCGGAATGCCACCCTAGCAGAACTTTCCCTGCCCGTTGCACTGCAGCAGCGGTACTCGGTTTTTAAGTAAGGAGAGCGGCTGTGTATCTTTCTGCCCCCTTCCCCACAGCCAGCAGCCCGCAGCCCGCCCGCGCCTCAACCCCGTTTCCAGCGACAAGCGTGGGGGATCCCAGCTCCCATTGCCCCGAGGTCGCCACTCACCGTGTCAGCTCCATCGCAGCGGCGCAGGCGGCTACCCGAGTTGTGCTGTGCCGAGCTAAGCCAAAGGCTGCTCTGTTTAGGCCGTTTCCCTTTTCCCCTCCCACGTCTCCTCCCGTCGGGGATTTCCGCCTTCCGTGCTCACCCGCGGCCGGTGTGGGGTTGGGTCTGCTAGTAGGTCGGCACCCGCGCAGCTGACAAACCTCGCCTCTAGCCTCGTGGGGTGGCTGCGATCCGCCTTGTCCCTGCCACGCCGGGAGCTGAGGTGCGGGATTCCGGCTCCGTGGCGACTCAGCCCCGACGCTCCGTTCCGGCTGTACGGAGGGTCTCAGCCCGTCGCCACTGACACCTTCCCAAAGGCTTGTCGGTACCGCCTGGCAGGGGGCTCCTGACCTCCGCGAAGGCGTCGGCCCCTGCGGGAAGGCTGCCCTTGCCCCATCAGACAGGAGCCCTTCACCGCCGGGTCTGGGCGCTGCTGGGGCCGACGTGGGGAGTCAGGGCTGGACTGGACACTGGCTTTTGTGATAGCAGCGTCTTTTTGGCCCTGTGAGGCAGTGAAGCCCCACGGCCCTATTTGGTGCGTGTGTGGGTGAGGCAGAGTCCTGTAACCCAGCAGCATCCCCGGCCCTTTGCACAGCCTGCCCGGAAGCCGGGGGCTAAGCTCTCGAGCTGTGCTTCCAAATACGTTTCAAAAGGTATCAGGTTTGTGAGTGCATAAATTAATTACTAACCCTAAATGTGATCTCATATGGTGCCTGGCTGTGCCTGAAGATGTAGAAGATAAAAACTGTGACACAATCATGTTAATAATGGGTGCTGTAACAGTAGTCAGCTAATAGAAAGCCCTAGTTGGCATTTGCCAGCAGTGTTCATGGATCCACATCAGGAGCTATATTTGGCTTGTTGGCTGCCAGGCTCCTCTACTCACCTGGGACTCCAACATGAACCTTGGTGACATGCACTGCAAAGCTGTCACTGACATTCTGCAAACAAATGCCGCAGTGACTGTCCTTAAAGAAGTTTGTCACTTTAATATTTTATTTGGTTGTAGTTCTGAGTCACCCTGGGTATAGCAATTACTCTGTACCCTGTGAAGGAGAAACTCCAGGGTTGTGCAAGACATGGAGGTCTTGGTACCATTCAGGCTCTCGATGCTGTCAGCAAGAAGGGAGCTCTTGCGTTTGAGTCTTGAAGTCAACATGAAGTCTGCATATTGCCAGTAGGCTGCAAGTCAGTGATCAGTTTGAGAGGGGAGACTTAAATTTACAGTAAATTTAAAGGAAGTTAAGCATTTCTGTGGAATTATGGCTGAATTGGAACATGTTGGCAGAAACCAATTCACATCTTTCACTGAAATATTCCCTGGCGGAATATCTTAGTTCAGGAAACTACTCTTTTGATGTTTATGCTCTTTTAATAACAGACACTTGGTGAACAGGGATGCATATGGAATCAGTTCTTAATGACTAAAACCTTCCTGACTCTAAATGCCTGTAGCTTAACTTTATGGGTAAATTTTTAGAGTTCTGGATATACATTTGGTCTTTTTAAAATGTGTAGTTTGAATGCACTCTGCTGATGTACTTTGCAATGGTTTCTATCATGCTGTTTTCATACATGATGAATAGGAACAGCCTATTACCATACATTAATACCTTGCTTATTCTGAAAATGCTTTCCACCAAAACTGGAAGGCAGATGTGTTCATAGTCAGGAGACTCTTTGAGATTTGGAAAGGTCAAGTGCAAACCTCTTTTCTGCCCCCACCAAGCTTTTGAATCTGCAGTGCCTGAAATCTCTTATTAGGTTTTAATTTAGAAGGAAACCTTGCCTTCCAAATGGTGTTTCATTAAGGCCCAGCCTTAGAGAGATCCTAAGTTGCTCCTACCTGCAGAACGCCCAGAGGGCTTGAAATATAAGGATATTCTTCTGCCAGGGGTTCCATTCCTATAGCACATGCTGAACAGTTGTGTGGTTAATAAAAGCAGGCTCCTACTGCCAAATCGCTGCCATTGCATATAAGATGTGCCTTGGGGAGTTCTCCACTATTTCTTTCCAAACAAGGAAAGGAGCAGCAGCTGTAGGGAAGGGTTGCTGCAGTTGATGTCGTTTCTTCTATTTGGGGTAAATTGCAATAAATTTTTATTCTTTTAGACATGTTAATGTGTTACCTATTAGCAATAAGTCAGGATATTTGGCTTAGGGTCAAAATACAGACCTTAATTACACGATCTTTCTCCTACAAGTATTACATCAAAGATAAGATGAACAATAAGTGGCAAGGGTATTTGAAAAGCCTAGGTGAAAAGTTTTCATCAAAGATGTGGCTCCTCATCCCTGCTACCATATGCATATAGCAAAATTCAGTCAGGAAAGCACCTCTGCATGTTATCTGGTGCAACCTCTACCTCAAAGAAGGGCCAACTTCAAAGTTGTGCGTCAAGCCTACTACTAAAATGTGGTTCAGAGTTGCTACTGCTGCTTTCGCATAGCTCTGAAAGTTCTGATAGGACTTCCTTTTTATCAGAAAATACTGTGAATTTTACCAGCAGTTGTCTTCATTTCCTGAGGTCTAGTTTAAGTCATATAAAAATGTATATTTATTTTATTTTGTTAAAGAAGTTGTAATATAGGATAGCCACAAGGCAAATCACATGTAAAGCCATCTAATCAGGCTTCTAAAATCACAACACTTATGACAGGAAAGATGGGTCTTGGCTTCAGAAAATCAAGTTGTTTAAGGTTGTTAAAAGTGCAAAACGTATTCCAGTTGTAGTACATAGGTGCAATCTCAGGTAGCTGCTGCACTCTCTTTTAGAGCCATAGAAGTGGCTCAAAGAAGATCCTTATTTTTCCTCCTCCTGTGTGCATGTCTGTGCGTGTATGTGTCTCAGTGAGACTTCTCTGTGAGAGAGAGGTAAAGACAGCTGAGTTCGTAAAGTAGAGTATTTGTACTAAAACCCCCTTATTGTTGAGGGTTAATTTGTTCTGTCTTATGTGTGTCTGCATCACTTGATGGTATTAAATTAAGGCATTGAAGGCTGTCAGAAGAAGAAAATAACTCCTGTGGCTTGTGTGTGGCAAATATATTGCCTATGGGCTTTGAAACTAAGACTACTGTGAAGAACTGGGAGGAAGGAGGGAGAGAAAAGAGGAGGAAAATTATATTCCAGTTTTTCCAGGCTGTGAGATAGAGAAGTGATCTACATACCAGAGTGCTGATAGTTTTCAAACTGGTGTCACACAAAGAGAACAGCTGTATCTGCAAAACAGACATCTTCAGTGGCAAGCTTATTAATGCAATTATTGAGAATCCAGAGAGACTGACTAGACTTTGTGAAACAGAGACATATCTCTCTCTACATCTCTACGTAGAAAAAAGAAAATCTCAGACATATTGAGTACCTTTGGGGACAGCTGAAAAATGGGTGACGACTCTATGTGATGTGGAGGATTTAAACCATTTTTGGAGTAGGAAAGCATAAAAAGAATGAACATAAAATTAGTAGCAGAGGATAACTGAAAGCTGAAGTTTTTTTAGGGTACCTAGAGCATGTCACCCAATTGAAATGCAGATGCCTGTGTCATTAGCAGTAGGCACAATGGCATGGTGACAAAACCAAGAGAGAGGTAGGATTGCTGGTTGGTTGGCTGCACTGAACCTCTTCCCATCATGCACAAGCAGGGGCAATAAAATAGCATCCAAACTTAAATATATGATGAAGGCATAGCAAGTCTGCAGCAGGCAACGGAGAGGCAGTTAAACAAAACAGATTAGAAAGGAGTACCTAGAGTAGAGATTACTCAAACTTTCGTGTACCATGTTTTAAACAGGTGCATTGTGTTGATGAGCAGAATGATCCAGCTCACACACTGCATGTAACTGGAGAACAACTGAGGATAACTAATAAAGCTTGAAGTGATATTATGTACAGTAGGTTTTGTGGGCTTACCCCAGAATACGGAAAAATAAAAATCTGCAGCTATTTTCACAGGACCATAAGAAGTATTTGGAAAACCAAGAGCTAACCTCTTTGGTCCTAACTGATCTTCATCTTAAGTCAGAAAAATAGTACCCTGCTGTTATCAGCAGTGGCCTCACTGGCATTAGCTGGACAGGATTCATTCACTATGAGGTGAGAAGTACTCTGGTGCATTACATAGCAGTGTAATTAAAAGGATGGAAAATACCTGCAAATGAGATTGCAATGGAAGAAAAAGAGCAAATGCTGATTATCAATCTTCAGTGTAAAGCAGTAAAGTACTACAGCCTAGCCAGTGTGGGTTATGGTGCTTGTGTGTTCTCTGTCATGTTTGGCTGGTTCCCTAAACACCTGAACTAACACCTACCAAACAACTATAAAGCAATTTTTTATTTTTTTTTTTCATTTTGGTATGTCACCTGCACAGAGGATATAGCAGATGAAGCAGCAGAAATTAATGGAAAGACTAAAAGGAGTCATAGAGCAAGTAAGCTAATATGATATTAGAAATAAAAGGCAAAAGGCATAATCCAAATAATGTAAAGTAGTAGAGCAACCAAAAATAGCCTTGCAAAATGGATTGAACAGTGCCTTAAGGATCACAGTCCTCCTTTGCTCTTGGAAAATATCTAGAAGTAACGCTTCAAGCAGCGGATCACTGCTGCTGTAGAAGAGCAGTCCATATTGAGCATGCTGATGGCTGACAAGAAAATCATATTCAAATGCAGTAGGAATCATGTGGGCCTCTTGTTATTTCATCAGTAGATGCATGACTATGCTGTGACATTTGAAAAATACCAAATCACTGTGGAATGGTTTCCACAAATCTCTGGCTTTTGCAGTCCGGAGATTCTATGGCATGACACTAAAACAGAGTATGAATTGCAACTGAGAGAAGTCAAGAGAAAAATCACAGTAGCTCTGGCCTCTTGGACAATTTTATGTATGGGGTAAAGAGCAAAGTGAAGTATGAGGTGTGAATGATTTTCCAGCACTTTTCCAACACTTTTTCTCCATCTACGAAAAAGCTGTAAGAAGTAGCAAGTGTGAGAGAGACATTGCCTCTTAAAAATAGATGGTGAAGGGAGGACAGATAGTTTCATTGACTAGTGGAGACATCAGGAGTAAAACAGCAAAGCTGACCACTGAGAACAGACTAGAGATGAAATCAGGGAATAGATGTGATTCCAAATAACTTATTTTATGATTCTGAGACGATCCTTTGAGATAGTGATCTTGACTGGATGCAATGGAAAAGAACTGCCAAGAAATATGCTTGATAGAAGTGAATGAACTAAGAGAA